TCGGTAATCGTGCGCAGAATCAATGATTACACCGGAGGAATTGTTTCCGCAGTCTCCTCGCGGATGCGCTCGCACTTGGATAATCTTTTTTTTTTTTTTTTTTTTTTTATTTCAAAGCTAATAGAAGGCCGTTTTCACTCCAGGGTCTGTTCCTCCCATACACATTTTGCGCCTTCGTGATCTATGTTCGATTATTTTGAAACAACACGTTTTTGCTGAATATTCGTTTCATTAATTCAGTTTGCGTCGCGATAAATAAAACTTGAACCGTGCCGTGGTGCTGCGTATTACGTATGTCGCCATAATGGCGTCAGTGAAGTGCAAAGGGTTAAGAAAGCATGTCAGAAACTCCAGTCAGGCGTGTCAACAATTGCGTATAGACTATCACTTCGGATGTCATTTATAATAACGCTACGATCGGAGTCCACGAGAACGAAGAATAAAGTATTAGGTTGTCCGAAAAGTTTCTTTCGCTTTCTTAATAAGTAATACACGCGCAACATTTTATGTTTTACGTTACATTACCGAATTGTGCACGATTCATTTTGCTCAATTACCGTTACAACACGAATATCTATGAAATCAGATTGTCGATTTATATAAACACGACCACATCGAATAATCGAGTGCAACTCGCGAAAGAAACTTTCGGGACAACCTAATATATTATACCGTATAATTAACCCGAAATATTTGATCGTTACCAAGGAGGTCTTCGTATCCTTTACGAATCGTTTGATTACCACGAATGATAGCTTTCTTCGGATTTGCTTCTCTGTGCATATTTCAAGAACTTATTGTTCGTGAAGGCATATTTATTCAGCGAACAAATAACGTCCCTTGATTCCTCGAGCCGAACAAAAAAGTCATATCCTTGGTATATTAAAACTATAGAATATAGCTTTAACAGTTCGAAATGTTCGAACGAGTGTCGCGGAGGACCGGAGAAGCACAGTAAATTTTCATTGACCAAATTGCTAGATGGACAACTTGACAAATGCTCGAACACTTTGAAACAAGTGCCCCCCCCGTCAGCGTGTCGGTTCGAAGTGGTCGGTTAATTGGCGCGAACGCGAGCTGCTGCGATCAGGGAGGGCCGCACTCTGCACTCGTCGTGGTTTTATTCGCGTTACGAGATAAGAACAGGTGTTCGCGGCCTGTTTCCCGAGATCCGAACGCCCTTTCCCCCTCGGTCGTTGTGAAATTTAGATTTAATCGTCGTTGTACAAAGAGTGATTCGGATAATTACGATCGTCCATCACGTATTTATTACGAGAAACGTGTCTAAAGATCGAGGGAGGGACCCGATGATGAGCCACTCGTACGTAACTATACCGAAGAAAAAACCCAATTAACAGGGACGAATATATATATATCGCGATACTAGGCATCGCTTTAATAGCAGTTTAGAGGGAACAAACCCGCGAATGGTACTAAGTTTTCAAACACGTTCCATCAAACATTGATGATATATTTAAGAGATGATTTAAAGAACTTTTTGTCGAGAGTATAAATTCTTATAAAGATCGAGAGAGAGAGAGTGATTTTTCTTGGTAATTCGAGCAGTTTGTCATTTAAGAAAAAGAAACGTATTTTAATAAATGTTTTCAATCTTCGGCATGCTCATCCTCGAATAAGGATCAACTTAAGCCCAGACAAAGTTTACTATTTACTATAACTTTATTTTCAAATTCATTTTATTATTATTAGTTTATTAGTAACTATAATTCTACATTTTTCTATAATTTAAAAACGGAGCCTATTTCTGATAGAGCCAATCATCGGTGATAGTAAATGCTAGAATCACATATTTCATATTTCGTGTCTTCTACCACCGCATACAAACATACTGGCTCACTTTAACGTGGTATATCCTTTAATTCTAAAAGATACTCTGATCGTAAGCAATAGCAATTTTACAATAAAAGCAAACGATATACACATACGCGAATATCCCTCGAGAGGTTAACGAAATTTTTGTTTGTCTTCGTGTAGTTTTATCGTCGATACGCGAGAACGAGGTTCGCACGGAGCCAACGTTGATTCTCTCGAGGTTGTAGGTGTGGAAACGCGGACCTATCGCTGATACTGCTCTTTGCCGCGCTGATAAAGACCGTGTCTGGTCGTAATGCCGCGTCCCGCGATTCATTGAAACCTTCTCGCGAGATTACGGGCACCGATTGTTTCGCGAAAGTCTCGCAAAGGGGACGGTTTACCAAACAAAAAATTACCACTTGTGTAAGTCGCACACTAACGCATGTACACTATTATTTCTTGTGAAAAGTACTCCCGAAGTACTCCATACTGACTTATGGAAACGTCGCCTTGTGACCTTGCCCTTGAAATATACCAATTGTGCAGGGTCTTCAATTACTTACCCTTGGAATAACGTGAAGATTGCAGGATTTTTTCTTTTTAAATAATTTATATGTGATTATCAGTCCGGGTTGGTCTAAAACGATCCAGAGGTCGTGAAGAATTTGGCATAACAAAATACAAAGAGTACAAAGGTTACTCCGTTGATGTATTCCAAAATAATAATGATCGCGTGTCCTTCGTTGCACGCCAAGTGCAGCTGTAGATTTCTATCAACGATCGTTGGTGAGGCTTCTGTGACACGCCGCCGCCTCTGCATTGGACAATTTAATTCATTGACGGATCATCATCGATGGAAAAGTACGCAGTGACCGCGTCGTTTTCGTTCGGTCCCGCGAGATACGCGAGGATAAAAGGGAACCGTCCTCGACGGGTTTCGCCTCTCTTGGAAGACGACGGATAAATCGTGTACCGGCGATTTCCTTGTACGGTGCGATCGACAGACACCGGAGTTGCGTGCCGCGGGCTAAGAAACTGGTAGGAAACTCGCGTACAATGCACGCTTTCGCAAAAGTTCGATTCAAGGTTCGATTGTCGATTCTTATAAAAAGAAGAGAGGAAAAAGGAAACCATGGTTGAAAATATTAAGGTGGTGAAACCAATTCTGTGCCTTTGTAATTCAATCATACATCATTTTTTAGTTCGAGTAGCCATGAATGTACCTACAGTGGTTGTAGAAAGTATTCGTACACCGATCAATTTCCAAAAAAAAAAACTGTGTACAATTGTAATTTATTAACTTATTTTTCATAAACAATGACATTCTATATATTCTCGGAAATCTCTAGAATAGCTAGATTACAAAAAAAAAATAGCCATTTATTTAAGCTGCGAAATTAAGAAGAAGAAAAAACAAACAATTAATCGATAGAAACGTTGAAGCAATAAGTATTCGCGCAACTGTTTAAAAGTACTTTGCTGGAAATTTGATGTTTTCTAATTCTCACGGAGCGATAAACTAACGTGTTTACGATAAAAACTCTACTGTAAATGTTTCGTCATAAGAATCGTACAAATGCTTATTGCTTCTATACTTTTACCCACTTTTCGCATTTTTTTGATTAATTTCACAAATTATATCAACTAGTAAATGTTGTTTGGACTATATCTATCTTAGAGACATCCGAGAATATGTAAAATATCATTGATTACATAAAAAGAAGTTAATAAACTACAATCGCACACAAAAGTTTTCTGGGAAATTGATCGGTGTACGAATACATTCTACACCCACTGTACGTAATATTTTATGTCTAATGTTACATGATTTGTAATTGCGTACGATCTGTTTTGCTCTATTACGATTAAAAATGTAACATCTAAGAAATTAGCTTGTCTATTTATATAAACCCTGTCACACGAAATAAGTGAGTGCAAGTCACGAAAGAAACTTTTGGGACAACCTAATGGAATCGTGTTTTCCGTTTAATAAAAAGGACTCCCGATAATCGACTTGAAATGTTCCAAGTAATGGCAGCTTACGAGCGTAATTGTAGTGATAGAACAAATTGCTACAGAGAAGCAACAGTAGTTATTATTTTGAGATACGAGTGTGGTTCGCACATAGCCATAGTGGTTAGAGGGGGAACGACGAGAGGAATACGCGGAACGGGCTCGGAACGCATGGAGGATCGATCCGTCATCCAGATATTTGGAGATATAAATAGAGCGGTCACCGTAAAATAGACGCGAGAGAGTAATTCCGCGACGGAAGATAAGCAGTTTCCCCAGCCGTTTCTGTCCCTTCACCTTTCTTCCTGTTTCTCCTTTCATCCCCTTTTTGTCTGGTCCGAGGAATTCAATCTAACCGAGCTCCTCGTAAAACTATCTTTTACCAGTTTTGTCGCCTCTCCGTAATAGCGCGCGTGTTCGTTTCGTTACTGCCAATGTGGTTTCAATTTCTTATCGAATCGTTTACTTTTCACGAGCATCTTGGCCGTTCCTGGCTTTCGTTAATTACTATTTACTATTTATAGAGAAACACGAACGTGGAAGCTGTAAATCTCGAAAGATTTTACGTTCTATCCCTCCCGGCACGCATCATAAACTTTGTACTCTTTGTTTACTGCTACGACGTGCCTCTCCGTCATTTTTGCGCGTGGTAGATAACCTTAAACTATATTTGCTCGTACGCGCGTATTTTCGTATATTGATTGCATCTGTAACGTGCTCTATCAGATGCGTGCATACAGTGCGTACTGTAAGCTTTTCTTTTGCTCTGTTTAATGGTCTCGTAGAAAACTTTGCGAAAAGTTGAAATTCCATATGAACGCAGTATAAGATCGCGGCTGTATTCTGAGGAAAATCCGTGACATATAATTGCGCGCCAGTTTCTAGATGCTTCAAAAATTGATCTGCATATCACCGACCCCGATCGCACTTTGCATTCGACTTTGCGATCGTGACGCATTAAGTGATCGACTCCCCTCTAATAAACTTAATTCATTGATGTTTCAGTAATTGATGTGCCTATGAATTCCTTTTGCTCCGAAGATAGTATGTACGTTGAACGTTTATTAAAAGCATTGTTTAATCATAAACTCGGGGGACGATAAAGATATACCGATCGTACGAAAGAAAGTTCGTGGGCTTAAAAGAAGACAATGAAATTGGTGCTTTTAGATTAACGTGTATCGCATGTATACGCAGCGAATTTCTGTTCTATTCGTTGCAAGGGGCGCACCTTCCTGTTATTTGTTGCAGCAGTTCGTATCGTAGGACGCAATGGCCGTCCGCCTACGCGACACGTAACTTGTCGAGCAACCTCCTCCCGAATCCGCCCAGTACGCTGGGCTTTCCCCACAGCATCAATTATCATTCAGTTACTTATCTCCTCTGGTTTTGCTTTGCTATCGTTCACCTAACCTCTCTCCGAGCGCCATTCTTTTTTACTGTTTTTGTTTACTTTTGTATAACCTCAAATATGCGACACCGATCGTTCTATCTTATCGCCGAAACAATTATCCCATTAAAATCGAAGTAAAAACAAATGCCATTGTTCGAGTAACAATGTTTCTAAGCTTTTTCGAACGACATGTATAATTACAATGAGAGCAGGTGATTCGCGTATACCGTATTATTTCATTTGAAAAGGTGGCAGTACAAATTGTATGATTTATGTTTCAGCATTGGGAATTACTTGCTACTGCGAAGGACATTGTCCAGACGATCGACAGAATGGAACTTGCGAAGGAAGACCCGGTGGACATTGTTTCAGCGCGGTTGAAGAAGTTTGGGATTCCGAATTGAAAGAATTTGTGCCAGAATGGTCATTTGGTTGTTTACCACCAGACGAGCAAGGCTTTATGCAATGCAAAGGCTACCTTGTGCCGCATTTACAAGGGAAAAGTATAATATGTTGTAATAAGAGTGCGCTTTGTAACAAAGATTTGTTTCCTGAATATAAACCTCGACCTACTACACCTTCTGACCCTGTTGCTATCGCATCGGGTGCACCTCTTATAATATTGGCCACCATTTTGTCTGTATGCTTAATGGTAATTTCAATAGCTATGGTGATCATATACCACAGATACAGAAGGAAAGAACGTGGTCCTTGCTTAATGCCTTCTCAGGGTACCCTCAAAGACTTTATCGATCAGAGCAGTGGCTCTGGATCAGGTTTACCCCTATTAGTACAACGAACTATAGCTAAACAATTAGCCTTATCTCAGTGTGTTGGAAAAGGTCGCTATGGCGAGGTATGGCTTGCGAGGTGGAGAGGAGAGAAGGTGGCTGTAAAAGTGTTCTTCACGCTGGAAGAAGCTTCATGGTTCAGGGAAACAGAGATTTATCAGACAGTATTGATGAGGCACGACAATATCTTAGGATTCATTGCTGCTGATATCAAAGGAACAGGATCTTGGACACAGATGTTATTAATCACAGACTATCACGAGAGAGGATCGCTGCACGACTACTTGCAAACTACTGTTCTAGATCATCCTAGTCTATTAGCGATTTCTCTTTCGATCGCCTCTGGAATTGCTCATCTCCATACAGAAATCTTTGGTACGCGTGGAAAGCCTGCTATAGCGCATAGAGATATCAAAAGTAGGAACATTTTAGTAAAGAGAAACGGTGAATGTGCAATCGCTGATTTCGGTTTGGCAGTGCGATATATAAGGTGTGTAGTAATAATATAATTGTACTATAATTCGCATTACGTGTTTTATAATTATATATTTTTGTTTATAGCGAAAGCGGAGAAATCAATATTGCCCTTAATACGCGAGTTGGTACTCGCCGATACATGGCTCCCGAAGTCTTGGATGAAACCTTGAATACATCTTCTTTCGATGCCTTTAAGATGGCGGATATGTATTCGGTAGGTCTTGTGCTTTGGGAAGCATGCAGAAGATGCGTCACAGGTGGTAAAAATTCGATGGTAGAACCGTATGCCTTACCTTATCACGACGTTGTTCCGAGTGACCCAGACTTTGAAGATATGCGGCTAGCAGTTTGTGTTAAACGGTTACGTCCGGTAATACCAGCACGATGGGAGAATGATCCAGTAAGCAAATTAACGATTTTTACATAAACATTTCTTGATATAATGATAATATTAAAATACTAATGTATCTTCTTGGTTACAGATCCTGTTTGCCCTAAGTAAACTTATGGCCGAGTGTTGGCACGCGAATCCTGCCGTTCGCTTAACAGCGCTACGTGTAAAAAAGACAATGTCGAAGCTACATATTGATAACGCCATCAAAATTGTGTAGTGGTTGACGACGATTCTCAAAACTGTTATTTTACTTCAAATAGTTAAAAAAAAATTCCCCTGTAAATATAGCCCCGGTGTATATAGGTTTATTGACAGACTGCAAGCCTGAAGACTGAGTACTAAGATTTACATATACTTGAAAACGTATGAATGTTGGAATTCGTATGATTAATGGATGATTAATGACGAGTCATGAAAGTAATTATGAATGAGTCCACGTTGTGTATGTATATTTTTTGTTTTTATGTGAAACGCGACAAAACGCGATAATGTCGATGTGTTTTGACGTGCTTCACTGTGTTGAAGTTTGTTGAGTATATAATCAGTGATGGCTATTACTTAGAGACGATGTCGTTTGGGGAAAAAAAAAACTATTTCTGAGTTCTAGACGCGCCTGAGCTTAAAAAGAGACATTAAAGTAAATTTAGCAGACGGTAAAAGATGTTTCTAGAAAAGTAAAAGCCATTTTGATAATAGCATTTAAATTTAGCCTAACCTAATATTACGAGATTTTGATACTCATACGCATTGAAATCCTGTTGTTACGAAGCCATGCTAATTTACATTTATGTGTCTCTAAACTGTTTATCGTAAAAAATTACGATATCATAATACGCATACTATTTCAGTTATAAACTGAAACATTTGCAGGATATATACAGTTTTATATTGTTCAGAAATTCAGTACTATAAAGAAGATTCTTACATATAAGTATTCCAAATATTCTGTTATATTAGAATATCTCGGAATGCTAGATAAATTTCTCATGGATTTTTACGTATCATTTATTTAACTACCATCCTGTATATCCACCAATTTCGTTACGCTTATTTTTAAATCGGTTCTAAAGCGGGAAAAATTATTTTTTATCGAGTTTATTTTCATTTGTCATTGGCTCTTAAGTACTGTATCTCATATATGACCCTGTATTATCTGTACAGTATGTAATTTATGTTTCTATTTTGTACAAATGGGATATATTAAATATTTAGTTTAAGAACGATTTTAAGTACATTATCGATTGTCCAGATCATAAAAATTTTTTTTAACAATACGACGACACTCTTGACAACACTTTTTACAGTCTGATAATTTTAATACGTTCCCAATTAAAATGTGAACGATATGTTTCGGCTTGTTGTTTTAAATAAATACTGATTAGGCATATCTATAAATCTTATGAGGGCTGTGGATTAAAATAACATCCACCAGAAAGTCTTAGAAAGTTGTTGTTACAATAGCAAATTATGCATCTGGGCTTTCGATCATTGACTCGAGATCGTTATGTTACATACGACTTCTGTATATTATTTGACAGAGGTCACTGTTAAATAGTATCGTAGTTCTTCTTTAGGAAGATGAATTGTAATTACATTAAAAATTGTAGTTGATAGCTAGTTGATTGAAAATAATGAAATTTATATTTTTAACAAGTATTAAACATTATCATCTTTTTCCAGATATAGAATTTTATTTATCATTACATGTTGTAGGACATTATCCTTATTCGTTAAGCGATTATCTAAAAGTGATTAGGCACATGCTGTATACAATGCTGTTTGTACAAGATTTCTGCGAATATATGACAATATATACGTCGAGGGATCAATTACTCCTTACGTGCACTTTACTGCATATTATTCATACGAGAACAAAAAAATTAGCAGGTCGGATGAAAGCTTCGCGAACTATAAATCGAAAATATCTAGACAGTATTACAATTCCTTTAATTATGAGATCGTACACACCATGACAAATATTTTTAACAAAATTAAGTTTGCAGCTTCATTTTAAAAATAAATTTACATTTCTGTAGAGGTTTCAAAAATTTGTGTACATTATGGGGATTATGGTTATGATTATGGATGAAGCAAGAAGGGAAGTGTCGTTTACCAAATGTATCGCTATATTCTCAATTTAAATGGTTTTTAAGTATAATTTCTTTTAATGTGTATGAATTTGTCTAAAAATTACAATGCAATTAAATTGTTTCTGAAATAGGACATGTTTTTTACATGTTTAGTATCTGTTAGTACCTTTGTATCGGTGTACTAGGGTGTACCAAGCGACGATAGAGAAATTTCTCTTTCGTATGTTGGCGACACTGAGTTTTACGTCGGAAGGGACGCCGCTTTCTACTTCCCGGTCTGTTTCGGTTCGCCATTTTTTACTTCGGGAAGCGTGTGGTATCGTGTCGTGTTTTATCGCGTTCTTTTACGAAAATACTGACTTGGTAAGTGCTTAGATATCCCTTAAGTACTTTCTACTTAATCCATTATCGTTTAATAATAGCATGTGAGCATAAAATTGTATTTACATCTCAGTATTTGCGTGGATATAATAGCGTCGCATGAAGGATGCCGAAGGCACGCCATTTCGCGTCTCTCAAGTTCTTGAAAGCGTAATTTTTTCGATATTTTGTTTTGCTTTTAACAATACACGAAAATTGATCAATGTTTGACAATCGTTCACGCATAATATGTTAAATTATCGATACGTGTCATTGACCAACTAAATAATGTTTCGAGTCGCGTTATATACATCTTTTTTTCGTCGTACGTTGGCGATAGTACAAAGATTCGTTTCTATGCGTTACGATAATTTTCCACGCTAATTTTACTACCAGCAATTTTGGCAAACGGAATGCGAGAAATGCCGCAGTGAATTTATTTCGAAAACGTATACCAACGTATATCTGCAGATCTTTTAGTTATGCCATTTAGGCACTACGTATTCTAACAATATGCAATATTATATGTTAATAATATGCAATTTTGCGATGGTGTTGCATTCTCCCAATTATTTTTAGCTTGCGCGAGTACTTATATGTATAAGTAGAAATATTAATATTTCATAATTAATAGCTTAATTTCTCTACGAATTCCGTACTGTTCGTTTATTTTTTAGCGCATTTATTAATTTACATAGTGTCTCACGATTGCTTTGAACTTTACAAGCGTTAGTAGTTATGCAAGCACGGCAAAAGCCGGTTACCGGTGAGCTACAAGCAGTCAAACAGTTGATATATTCTTAAACTTTCTAACACAATAGTCTTGCATAAATGCTTTGCTCTAAGAATGGAAAGTAAGTCTATCCCGTCTAAAGAGCAATGAATATTTCTCATGTATAATTTCTATGGTATCTTCGCAGTAGTTGCAGAAATTTACGAAGAACATCGGTAAGGTTTGGTAAAACAATTTTCGCGTAAGTGCTACGTATGGAACACACTCTAGAAGTGCGTTAGCGATAGGTTTCTGAACGCTTCGTTTGGTTCGTTGTATCACGGTTTGCTAAATTAAATTTTAACCTCTCGAGTCAATTGTTTGTATATATATATATATATATATAAACAAATATTCAAATGTTTATCGAAATAGAAATGTAAATATTGTTGCATTAAAGTTAACACGTGCTCAAATGTATATACAACAAAAAGTATATCTCTAGAGTATATATGCTTCCTAGATTGGCCATGGATCTTTGAGGTAGTTTTCGTTATCGCCGCTTGGTGGCGGTTGGTGTTCACGCGACTGCAATGTCGCCACCATCTCGAGCAAGCGAATGCGGCAAAGTAAGACGCCATTGCTAGATTGCGTTTTCTTGTGTAAAGTCGTGCGTGTGTTCCCGACATCGGCGTCGGTTAAAAATCGTTGATTGATACACTGTTCCGTATAGTAACCTTTGGTGAGTGCTACAAAGAGCGCAAGGTGTGTGACCGTAAAGAGTGCGGGTATCGATCGAGAGGAAAACTTAATTATACACGCTTCGTAAAATTCGTGCGCCATTTCGACAAGGTCGGTACGCTCTCTGTACTGCGTACTTTCACGGCGTACCAAATATTCACGATTTCGTTAGGTCCTGATCGTCCTGTTCGAGCAAAAATGATAAAATTCGTGTTTCGTAGCTATTTGTAACCACGCGAACAGTTTCTTTCGTTTTCGGTTAAGCATGGGGATTGAATATTCGGGCGAAATCCACGACCTTCGAAATTCGAAAACTTAGATCGTTAGCAAAATGGTGGAAGGAAGCACTAGAGGGGGAATCTAAACAATCGCCGCGTCGCCATCGAACATCTTTTGCGACATTTTCGTAGTTCAGACCCGGTTTAGGTTGCGTTGTTACGTGTAAAGTTAAAAAGATTAGATAATACACGTGGATATTGCGTTTCGATGCGGAAAGGGTGCTTTACGGTGTAGCGGTCTAACTTTTAACGCGGATTACTTTTGGACTCTTCGGAGTGGCGTAGTAATATGTGCACAGTATAGCTACGAGACACGTATTTTGTCCTTTATTAAACGTATTATAATCGATTTAATAAATGTATTATAGGGAGATTTAATAGAAAATAACAGAAACTTGTAGAGAAATCATAAACGTTGCGAAGCGTCGCTGCGTATGTTTTCTACCATGACCCGTAACTCTGTCGAAGACGTTGCATTAATGAATAAGAAATAATATTCGAACTATTTTCTTTTTTCGGAACTAGGTTCTAGAACGAGCCGAAAATGCCGGGTTTTAGTAGTGTTGGCACATTTAAAATCTTCATCGGTAATTTAGCCGACAAGACATCAAACGCTGACATTAAACCGTTATTTGAGAAATACGGAAAGGTCGTAGAGTGCGACGTGGTGAAAAATTATGGATTTGTGGTAAGTCTTTTTTATTTCTTCGATGTTTACGGGCCAGTACTTTTGTTTTAAATGTATCGTTGGGATGGCGGGGAGGGGGGGGGGGGGTGTTGCATATTTTTATTTGGAATCTTTGTAACGTTTGCTCGTTCTAATACAACAATTGTATCGTTTCAAACAGCATATGGAGAACGAGGAGGCAGGGAGAAATGCGATACAGAATTTGAATGGACATATAGTTCATAGTCAGCCGATCAAGTGCGAGGCTGCAAAGAGTCGCAAGGGTCCCAACACTCCTACGACCAAAATATTTGTCGGCAACCTTACAGACAACACCAAAGCGCCACAAGTGCGCGAACTTTTCGCCAAATACGGCACAGTTGTAGAGTGCGATATCGTAAGAAATTATGGATTCGTCCATCTAGAAGCAACAGGTGACGTCAACGACGCCATCAAGGAGCTGAACGGACAGATGGTCGATGGACAGCCGATGAAGGTTCAAATCTCCACGAGCAGAGTACGACAGAGGCCAGGAATGGGTGATCCCGAGCAATGCTATCGATGCGGTCGCGGCGGCCATTGGTCCAAGGAATGCCCGAAAGGAGGAATGGGAGGAGGACCGGATAGGAACGGATACAGAGACCGAATGTTTGGACGCGACCCGTACCCTCCACCGCCGCCACCACCGTTCCTTCGGGACCGGTTGATGGGTGGTGGCCGCTTTGGAGTAAGTAGCATTCCTTTCATTAATAGTTTGAAATATCGTTCGATACGAGAACATTAGCGAACGTTGGTTGAAACAGATTATTCATACCATCGCGTTGGTTTGTTTGTTAACAGGATTACGAAAGCTACTACGACAGGAGGGGCTTCGAGGACACCAGGGACCTCTACGAGAGGCGGTTTACGGGTATGACAGGGCCCTGTGACATGGGAAGTTCCATGTGCGGGCTTGACTTTCCACCAATGACAATGCCACCTCTACCCCCAAGACGAGACCCAATGCCTCCTATGCCTCCTCTAGGTATGGGATCCATGCGCGACACTGGCTTCTCCCGTGGTAACGAGTACGGAATGTTCAGCCGCCGATCACCCCCTCCGAGTGGCAACAACGGCCGGTTCAGGTGAGTAGAACCATCGTACCGACTGCCCATTCGTCCGACTTAACATTGTGAACGTTCCAGGCTGGATTAACAGCTCATGCGAATTGGGGTTCGGTGATTCGTCGACATACTTACTATTCTATATCGTATATTCTTCGTTTTTCTTACAAATTATCGATCTTCTTTTTCCATGTCTTGCTCTTGCTCTCAAAATTTGTATCGTTCTTATCGGCAACAGGGCGCGATGATCATTTTGTTTTTTTTTTTTAACGTAGAGACATCATCACCCTTTTATTGCATTTGGTTCTTTGGTCTAAAAGTTGATCCGTTATTACATCTCCGTTATATTTCCCTACCTATTTGATAACATTGCGCGCGTATCGTTTTTTTATTTTCTTTGTTCCGTTGCTTTACTTTGGATCACGGTAAATCAATTCTAAAAGCATTAAGTACGAGTGTCGACCCGATGCCCACATGAGTGCAGAGTCTGCATAGTACAAATGTTATTATATGACGCTTGGACGTTTCTGTACATTCTAAATTTCAGTGCACCTCAGGCTGCGTACCATCTTTGTCCATGAATGCGGGCAACCCTAGAGAGACAGTCCCGGGCCAACGTACAAGTCGTGCAAGAGTAAGTCTTTGACCACTTTTGTTAGCGAGTAGTCATGCCTCGTTCTTGTCGCTGGCGCGTTTGTACATCGGGCCGCTTCCAATTTCACCGCGGTTGTCAACCGAAAAGAATGACGGATAAAAAAAAAAGAGAGAGAGAGAGAGAGGGAGAGAGAGAGAAACGAAAAAAGATATCCGGGTCTCGACTGATCGTACCTTGAACATGTCGACTGCTCTTCTAGGGATGTCCCTGTTCATAGACTCTCTTGATCCATGGCGTTAACTGCGAGATTGGCCTGTATGTCTCTTATGAATCCTTTGTGTTTCAAGCGCTCCCTATTACGTACATCACTCAACCGGGAGTGGCGCGGAGGCCTGGGATGAAGAAACGTTCCTAAGGAATGCGAACTAGATTTCTTGATCGCACTACCGCGAGCCAGGATGCGATCTACAATTTTAACGAACTCTCGTACCGCTGTAGATAGAAAAAAAAAAAAAAAAAAAAGGGCTGGCGCGATTTTCAGGAACGGCGCCTATCGATTGTCTTTGAAACGTCTCGTAAGTAGAAACCAGCTCTCCAGACGAATTGGACAGTAAGTTAGTTTTTGTATATCGGCGTTTCTAATAGTTCTTAAGGCCAGTTTCATAGACACGCTTTGTTATATAAAATTTGCAAGAACAAAAAACGGCCCGTTTTTTTCGTGTATTAGTTTTCGGTGTACTTGACTCGGGACAAATATCGTAGATCACGATTACATATATATTTTTTTCTTTTTTGTCTACAAGTAAACACGTAAATATATATAATTTAGTATATAAAGAACATCTCGGGAGTTCCATCGCGCATAGCGGTTCAGAAGAGATACTTTCCAAAGTTGTACACGCGAACAAAATAAACGGATGGTACGACGCTCACGTGTGTTTAAGTATCGCTCTAAATCGTCGATTAAAGATCTCATTTGGTTCGTTGGTAATTTGTTTCGATGCTGTTACTGACAAAGAATTTTTATCATTCTTTTACGTTATTGGCTGTAAGATACGATCGTTGCTTTTCTTTTTCTCCATTTAATTGTGTGTGATTGTATCGAACCACTGTTTATGCAATCAGAAATTTCAATGTCGTTTGGTAAATCGAGCGCGATTCCGTTGATTTGGTTTAAAGTGCGCTTCAAGTTCTAAGATGTTTATTTTGTCTCGGAAGTTTCATGAAACCGGCCCCATGTAGACAAAAACTAAAAAAAAAAAAAAAAAAAAGAAGAAGAAGAAAAAAGAAAAAAAGAAAAAAATCCTAACGCAAAGATAAAGGATGCGAGGCGATTTCGCACAAAACTTAGTACGAACACGCGATTGCTATACATGCACCGAAATTACGATCCATAGTTCTTGAAGCTGACTTCTACTCGCGAGGTTCAAAGCTTTTCATGTATGTAAATCCACTCGCAAAAAACTTTCAAATAGAGAAACAGTTGATTGAACTTCTCAATCGTTCTGAATACTTTGAGTTTGTTGTTGCACGTTACCTTATTTATCCTACATGTTCCCAGCCTGGGCTGCAAACGGCTCGTTCACGAATTTGTAACTTTTTGAAAGTCGCATGGGTTAAAAATCCAGTCTAAACGCTGCCTGCCTCATATGACTGGGCTAAAAACAAAAAAAAAAAAAACAAAAAAAAAAGAAAGAAACGAAAAGAAAAAGAAATCTCATATTCGACCAAACGCCTACGTATCTCGTATATTACACGCGTGTATTTATTAATTCAACCACACATTTCTAACGATTGTACCTCGTATCAAATAAAGTGGATGGGGGAATACTCGTCGCTGCTTTGCATTCAAATTCTCTAGGTGTTATTTAACCATAGGCAACTATGCAGGATAATGGTAGTTTGATTTAAATATCGATAGAAGGAGTCCAACGGACGATTCTCGATTCATACGTTCAGAATGTTTCGTTTCGGTTTCCTATGAATTGGCCACCGCATACGCCTGTTTCGTTGACATTAGAACATTCGAGGTTCGTACAGGTACTTCGTGTTACAGCGGTATTGTTCTTCGCTGGCACACACTCTCCCGTTTCGGTAGCGTGTATCGATGGTTTGGTAGCGTCTTCTAGCGTTATAGATTTGCCACGCATACTGTTTGCGACGATGTTTCTCTAGGTATACGGCGCCGTGAAACGGCTGCTGAATCGTAAGGGACACTGGGAAACGTAGCGCGTCGTTGTATGGATGTTTGGAAGTATGATGGATCGTCTGAAAGGGAAAGTAATCGTTGTACAAAATCTATTCGAAGGAATTGTTGACTCGTATCTCTCGCCAAATCGGCAAACTGTTTCGTGCACCGTTTACGTAGGTATATACACCGTATCGCAGCAGCTTGTTTCTCAATTCCCGACCATTCTTAACAGTCATATTAGGCAGCACGCGGTATCATGTGTATCTTGCACGTTGAAAATACAGGGACTAATTCACAAAGTTAAGCCTTGGACAAGGGAGCAAGTATGGTATATGTTGATCTGACCATTCGTAGACTCGATTATTTATTATACCGCTGTTTATAGTAGAGGCATGTACGAGGACTTCAGCCGAGATTCATTTGAAGAGCGTAGGTAAGTAGACGTGCCGATGGGTCACACACCAGCCCAAATCGTTGAAACGTTTACTCCGGTGTACGACTGTCAATTGTTCGGTTATTAACCATCTTTGGCCCTCTTCTTTGCGTTACGTCGCGCTGCCTGAATCGTCTCTGTTATTCCCTTCGAGAGAGTCACTCGACCAGGTTTCGACGTATAATCGGTAATTGAATCGTAAAAAGTATAATTATTTACGGGATTCGCTGTCCAACGATTGCATTCGCGTAGAGCGCGGGGACTCTGTCTCGATCGGAACATTGGCGATACAGCGACTCGTTTCGCAAGGAAGGGAGCGACCGCGATTTTGTGATGTACTCGCGAAAAAAAAAAATTGTCCTTATCGTTGTCGGCGAGAAAATAGTAACGTTAGCGAGAAAAACGAGGAAGAACGTACTCTCCGTGGTTAAGAAAGCAAGTTTTACCACCCAGCCTTTGTTGCTTATCTCCTATTAACAATTTTCCTCCCGAACCATCTCCCTCCTCCAATTTCTCAAACCGACCCTCGTACCTTGGTACACGACTCACACCACATACAATTCTCTCCGTTTGTCGATACAGTATAATTTTATTTCTTTTTCACAGTGCCACCCTTGTCTACTTACCTATCCGCCCTCTTTGTGTCTCACAAGTTGCTCCTCTCTCTTAGTCCGTGTATCAAAATCGTTCTGTCTCGACCTCGTGTAACTGACGTGGCTGCTTCATTTTGGTTACCAGACCGGGATTACGAGGGCCATCGCCGTCGCGCCGGTTCGCACCATACTAAATCGTCGCGTCGGGCTCGCTCGGATCGGTCTGTCGGTCTGTCTGTCGTCTGTCGGGTCTGTCTGTCGCTAGCAGGAAGCCTCGGGACCGAGATACTCTTGGCCGTCTGTCGATCTGCACGCGCGAAGATCTACTATAATCGGCTGACTCTAACAGAAAAAAAAAAATAAAAAAAAAAACACATGTACCAATCCCTCGCCGTCAGTGCGCATATTTTGACGAGAAAAAAAAAAGAAAGAAAAGAAAACAAAAAAAAAACAAATACAAAAAAAAATACATGAAAAGAAACAAACAAACAAAAAAAATCCGAAAAAGCCAGACGAGAAAATTAAGCAGCAAACAGAAAACACGAGCCGGATTTTCGTCGAATCTTGCAGACCTTGTCTCACACACGTTTCCCCTTCTTCACTCCGGTCCGGTTCTCCCTTGTTCCACGAAGATATATGCACGTCGCTTATTATATTCGTTCCCCGTCGTGTTAGACAGACTTTCCGTAATTTAACCTCGTAATCGACGAGACACCGCCGTTTAATCGTATGTAGGCGTTTTCTTCGATGTAAGAAGATGATGACGATATAGCATCCTCCTACCGAGTGAATCTTTCGAACCCTGTACTCGTCAAAAATATATATATGTATATATATGTAATCGCGTGTCGATTCACGGCGGTCAGTTTTCCACCGCGAAACGATAACCGTCGTTTCTCTCGTTTAGAAGGTAATCGAGGAATGTAAAGAGCTCGACGAACGTTTCGGTAGGACGATGCTTGGCGACGCTAAACAACACAACACCGCGTCGACGATTTCTTGAGATGACCGTTTCTGTGACGATGACGCGCGCGCGCGTGCCTGCTTTGCCTTCCATCCGTGGACACAATTCACGTGCTTTCTTTTCTCCCCTTGCGAAAACACAGTCGATCGGGTCGTGTACCTGGAGGAAACGCTCTACTTTCGATGACCAACGTGATAGCCGGTATTGTGTGAATTTTGTTCATGTTACGTATCTGAACGTATGAGAATCGTTGTTAGTTACGTTTTTTTTTATGGATATAGATGGAAAAGAAAGACACCGACCCCTTTTGTGCGATCGGCTGCGCTTCGTAACGCGTCGCTATCACAAAATCGGAGCATCGTGTGAGAACGATACCTTTGTTTCACTTCTTATAAAGCGGAACGTCGCGACGATGATTTTCGAGTAGCTATTCCGTACGGCACGTTTTGCTCAACCAAACGGACTTCCGTGATGCGTGTGAAAGTATAATTGTAAAAAAAAAAAAAAAACCAAAAAGAAAGGAACGTTATTATCTTATGCGAGACACGAAACGTTTGCTGCTCAGCGTGTTTGTCGAGGATCATGCAATATATGGCGTCGGCTTAGGACAAGAACGATACGATTGTGCGTGTGATCGGTCGATCGCAAATTTTTTTCTCCCCGTAATTTCGGTTCTCCATCCGACCACCACGGAAACCGTGCACTGTGAACTCTCGAACGCATTTTTGTTTCTCCTCTATATCTCGTTGTTAATAGCGTCGTCTCAATTAACAAACAATTTATATACACGTAATACAAACTACGTACACGTACACACACACACACACACACACACACACACACACACACACACACATAGAGTATAAACAGAAGATCGTGCACACCTTCGCAGTCTTTCTTTCGAGGAACAAGACGAAATATAGATTATGAAAATCGATGAGAGAGAGAGAGAGAGCGAGAGAGAGAGAGAGAGAGAGAAAGAGAAATACACAAAAAGTTACAAATTGGAGATACCACACACCGTAGATTATTCGTAGAATGATGATGCGTCGATTCTGTATGGGAACCTAAGCGGGTCGTGCGAACATTATATCGTTAGCGTGTAGTAACGTAATAATACCGTTTTATTAACATACTAGGATTAATTGACGTAAAGAATTACCGAAGAATTAATTGCGGTTACCGCAAGTGCGCTCCGTTTAAGCTTATACGTATAATAATAACGATGATGATCACCGTTTCTCGTTTCTTCTTCTTTTTTCTTTTTTTTCGAGCAAGCGTATACACACGTCGATGGCGTGATACTTCTCTCCTCTCGAGGATTTTTTTTTTTTTATTATTATTATTCATTTTCTTTTATCTCCACTCCCCCCCCCACAGACCAATATTATTTTCCTCTTTTTTTTTTTTCTCGTTGGTAAGACCCGTGTTTTCAATGATAATTATAATTAATAATGATAATCGTAATGATAATGGATTAAAGAAAAACGAATGTAATAACAATGTACTTGTGGAATTCACAAAACAAAAAGGAAAACGGCGTTGACGTGTTCTTTAATTATCTCTCACCGTTTTTTCGCCGCTTCTCAAAGTCCACCCCTTCTTCTTCGATCAGCCAGAAAACCAGCCCTCGTCCTATCCGCGCGAGACTCGCGTAGAAAAAAAAAAAAAGAAAGAAGAACAGCAAAAGTGAGGCGTTGTTTCGTAGTCGGTTCGCGTGATCGAACGCGCGCGCTTCGCTGGCTTCCTGCGCGTCGCGCGTTATGGCCTCGCGCGATCGGCCACGATCATCCCCGATCTATGAACGCGTTTCGATATCTCGCTCTCGCCCTTACGTCCTCGTCCACGAGTTTGCTCGATCATCCCTTTGTACCGTCGGCTTCGACGTCCCCAAGTCCTTCCCTTCTCTCTATCTGAATTAGAACATCGTTCAGGATCCAAATATCTATTTCTTTATTATTCTCTCGTTTCTGGTACTCACGTTGCATTGTAACACTCTGTAAATCGTTGTAGATGTTTAGCCGAGTACATTTAGTACCGGGACACTTAGCGATTTGTAGTTTGTAATACAAAGTTAAATTGCCAAGTGTCTGAATATTATTAGACGTATAGAAATTAATTCTGTGTCTTTATATCCGATCCTTTGTAACTCTTGTTTAAACAGATGTATTTACTCGTCGTTTTGGTACGTTAAAGTCTCAACCTGACGGTCGTTGCAGTGTATCTGTACGAACTTTAATAGCCACTCAATTTTGCTTACTGTTATTATCAATACAGTTATTGTAATTATCAAGCACACACGTAATCCATTGAAACGTTAGTGTGAAACAAAGATCTATAGCTAGTAATTCTCCTATGTACATACATATACATCGTAATGATCATGAGGTCGAGTACCAATGAGGTTGGTAATGGCGATTACATATTTCTACTTGAACCAAAGTTACAAAGGCACAGAATTCATTTCTACAGAATCGTCAGCGACTCGAAATTCGTACCCTTGTTCGCTTGTAAATTGGACCTGTTTTCGAAAACTAAGAACAAGAGTATATCTCTACGCTCTGCAGGTCTCTCCAGAAGTCGCTCGTTTGAATCTCGATAATCCATTCATTCTTTTGCCTCTACGTTCTGTGACAAATATTCAAGCGTCGTTGCGCGTCGAATTGAACGCGGTACCTTGAATATATCCTCGTTCCCTTTATTTTCAATAAATCACAAAGGTTTACTTACACGTCAATTCAATTGTAAATGAACCGACTTCACCGATTCTTTCGTATCCTAGCGATGCGTCTACATTCTCTTAGCGAGACTCGTTGAAAACTCTGGAAAGGAAATGGAAAAGCCAGTAGTAGCCGTTTCATCGGTCGCGTAAGCGTTAGAAACACAGAGACTCCCGTATAACGCGCATGATACTTTACGTTAAGTGTTATTCGGAAGTTTACTGTACTGTTACGTCGTGAAGATGAATCTATTGTAAAGTTGAGACAGAAACCAAGTAACTATTCCCTTCACAGAAATCGTCTGTAGATCGAACTTTGCGAGTTCCGTAATTCAACCCCCTCTGTGGTAGGTTCGGTGTTGAAACGCAATCTTGACTCCTGCCAAAATATGTCGAATTCCACTATGGTTGCGACGCGCAAAGTTCGGATCGACTCGCTAGTGTTAGCCGCAAAATACTCTGGAATTTCACTCGCAGGACACGCGTCTAGACACGAGAGAAATTTAGGAACGGAGCTCGTCGCCGAAATTCGTCCCCGAGGAGAGTTCTTTCCCCGACAATCTTTCGTTTCTCTGTTCCGCCGACAGACAAACGTGTATCTTTGCTCGCATAAACGTAGATGGGTGTGCGTCTATATACGTCCGAGCGTTACGTAATTAGGAACACGTGAACACGAAGGTGAATATTCGTCCGGGCTGCGCGTGTAACCGACGGACTGAAAACTGATTAAAAAATAACAAAAAAAATAAATAAATAAATTTAAAAAAAAAAGACGGAACTTGCCCGATCGGTACGCATAGATCCTATACACACGTGCGTCGTGCGAAACTTGAACATAAGGAGACCACAGCTTCGTCGCACGGGTCGACGACGAGAGATCCGCTAATACAAGTCGTCTCGAAGATTACGGTTGTACCGGACGTGTGTAACGTCGGATAGGAAAAAAAAAAAAAAAAAAAAACTGCGGTGATCCAAAATGCACATACACAACCTCCTTCGTGACCTTACGGACGTAACGATTAATGGCAGTTGGTAGTCTCGATAATATTCTCGAAAAACACGTTGCAACCGGTCAGTCCAAATGCGTCGTCGGTTGGCGTCGGGAATATATGCATATACCGAGAAAAGGTCGACGAAAAAAAAAAATAAAAAAACGAGAACTATCGGGACGCACGCCTCCTCCGGACCCTCGCAAGCACGTATACGAACGAGTCCCTCGACAGAGTCGTCACGAATAAATAAATAAAAAAAAAAAAAAAAAATATATATATATATATAAAAATACACGTGAAGCTTATCAGTCGCTGGGTGATAGACAACGGAGATACGCGACTTTTGAGAAACGAACGGGCCATAGAAACCGGAAGATATCGGCGGAAAAAAAAAGTAAAAAAACGGAAAAACGGAAGCGCAGAAAGAGATCGACCGGTAGAAATCGGGACGACGATATATATATATATATATATCTATAATATTATGCGTGTGTGACCACCGAAGTATAATAGTCGCACTGCAGAACCGGGACGTGTAAATCCTCTTCACACGCGCGACGGAAAAAAAAAAAAAACGTGTCTCGTGTCGCCGGGTCGTCGGTTGCCAATTACCAAAGAGTGATAGAGAGACGCGCCACAGGGAAATGTTAAAAGACACTATGCGTATTGTAATGTGATGTATGATATAGGACACGATAACCCCCTACCCCAAGCGCTTCTGGACAATACTTGGAAGGAGCTGTGTGGGCTTTGACGATGTTCGAGTACGGAGTGCGAGGGTGAGAGAGGTGGTCCCGTCAACGTGTCCCATGTGGCGAGAGGTAATTGTCGACCAGGACTCTGTGCTCCATTGAGAAGGCACACCGCAGCCGACAGAGGTGTTCCCCAATTGGGCAGAAATATGGGGTGCGAAACCACGTCGTAATCAAGGCAAGTTCCAACAGCCTTTCAGTATCTCATCATTATGATCTCTGCGTAAGAAAGCAAAGTAACACGAGAGCAAAAAAAAAAAAAAATAATAATAATAATAATAAAATAAAATGAAAAAAACCGGTGTTCTCTCTTCTGTCTGACAGCATTAAATTTCATTCAGTTTTTTCTCTGCCTTGGCGAACACTTTGAGAGCCATGTTTTCTTTCTCAGGAGATGCGGTAGAGCGCACACGCATGCACATTGTGAATCCTGCGATACGAAGAACTTCGTATGTGCGAATATAGGTCCAGACTAAACTCTAACATTGGCTGTGGCGAGACGCTGCGATTTCACACTTCCAACACTTCTTCTCTATCTTGCTAACGATTGGATTTTGTGTAAATGTCTTTCTCTGCTGTGCGTGGGGGAACGCAAAGGTATCGTAAATGAAAACGAGTACTTCTTCTCCATGCGGAACTTCTACCAATTTCTACCTTCGTTGTCTGTTCTGTTTTTTTTTTTTCTCTCTGTCACGTGATATTCGAACGCGCGACGATAGATGCGCGCAATTGATTTTTCGCGCGGTTGATTCGTGCGCTTGCGCCGTCGATCTCTGTTGCGATGTTCGCGATACGTATTATACGCAGTTTTATTCATTTTTTTTTTTTTTTTTTTGTACCGTAAACCGATTCAAATTATATATATCAGCAATGTATCGCAACTGTATACGGAGTTATTAGCAGAATAACTGATTTCAAAACTGTGTAATGCATTATACTTTTTGCATTATTATATTTTCTTTTTTTAAGTATCGCGCATTTAATCGTTCAGATGTACATATAGTGGTAAGTAATGCGTGAAAGATTCAGGTAAGATGCTGATAGTATGCGTCATCATCTTGGGAGATTCAGACAGATGACTTCGCAAAAATGATCGGAATGATTTTCCCTGTATGGTTCGCTGTAAAGTCTTCATTTCCGATGAACAAAATATTAGAGAATATATATTATATAACAAGGAAGCATTTCGATGCATGTAATTTGTAAAACATTGTAGCAACCGAATAGAAGTCGTACTGTATTTTTCTTAAAAAATATATATGTAACGCTAAATTTATAAAGGCCTCCAATATTCTTGCTTCATATCAACAGCATCGATAAAACATACCGAGTGTGTATACTTTGTAAAATGAAAAGAACGAGTAAGTAGTAAATATATGTGTGCTTTTTCAAGGATCTGACACACATCGACATGAATACATTATTCTGGTTTGAGTTATTCCCCACTAGTAGTCTAATTGCGTAAGATGGATAACGTAGTGCATTGCATGTATAGACAAGAAATTGAAAAATAGTCCGACTTACGTTATAAGTGTCGTGAATTACGTGTAGATTTCAAAGAATTTAATTTACGCATCAGTTCCAAGATTTACGCGATATATTAAAAATAAGTCCAACGTATGTTTGTACACGAAAAATATCTATGATCAGTCATTCATAAAATATTCGTGTGATATATATTTTTGCATTTCCGTTTAAATAAAGTAGGTCTAAAGATGAAGTGATTTTCCGGAGCGAGTGACGAAATCCATTCATAAGTAAACGTTGCTCTTATCGTGAGTAACACGTATTAATCTACTTTAGAATGACATTCATTTTTCACGTAGAGATTGATAATATTCTTGTGTAAATTCTGTTAAAAATCCACGTGATGTCATTTGACCCTGCGTCGTGAAGCACGGAATTGTTCTGCAGAATTCAGTGGCGCACCGTCGCCATACGTGTACGGAACCTTTGGAACTATCTACAAACAAACGAAAGTCGTGTTCAAATGGCGCGAGACTTACGGTAATCCACCTCACGATTTTTGTCCATGGCTTTGTCGAAGATGTTATCGATCATGTCATTGAAATTGATAGGTTATGTCTAAGTATTCGGAGAGGTTATGTTTTGCACGCGTGCTTTGATCATGTGCTCGCTAAATTGCATCAAACATTCGATAATGTCATCCGTTTTATGTGTTATGAATGTTTGGTTCATGAATCCGCGACAGTGTAATTCGTGTAGTTTCTCTTAATTCTTGTTACGTGCAATAATTATTGTAGTTTATATTCTCTAAATTCATAAGCACGTGATGGAAGAAAAGATTCAGGTTATGCAATATTCAGGATCGGGACACGAGGGTAGGGAACCCTAAAATAAAATTTTGTTAAACATCAATTCGTATTTTTCATGAGTATCGACTTATTTTGTTATTTAAATTCGGATGATAATCTTCATTTTTTAGATTATAGATCTAATTCTGATTACTATAACAATTGTGGTATATTTCAGGGAGGGTCTCCTACTGGGCATGGGTAATCCCCTTCTTGATATTTCAGCAACTGTAGGTAGCGACTTTTTAAAAAAATATGGTTTGAATTCAAACGATGCTATTCTTGCTGAAGAAAAACACAAGCCCATGTATGATGAATTAATAGAACTTTATCAGGCAGATTTTATTGCTGGTGGTTCTGTGCAAAATACTATGAGAGTAGCACAAGTAAATTGATTAAAAACTAATATTAGATTAACCTGTATATTGAATTACAAATAATGGATCTAATTTCCTGTAGTGGTTCTTGGAAAAACCAAAAGTTGCAACTTACATGGGTTGCGTTGGAACAGACAAGTATTCAAAAATTTTAGAAGATAGAGCACGGGCAGCTGGTTTGAATGTTCGCTATCAGTATACGAATAAAGAACCTACTGGTACTTGTGCAGTTGTTATTACTGGAAATCACAGATCGCTGTGTGCAAATTTGGCTGCTGCTAATTGCTTTTCATCTTCTCACATAGAAGAAACTGAAAATAAAAAGCTTCTAGAAATGGCTGAATATATTTATGTCTCTGTATGTGTTAAGCAAAATATATATATGTATATCCCTTATTTATTATTAAAATTATGTCCGATATTGAATCTTATGCTTCAATTTATAGGGATTTTTTTTAACTGTGAGTCCAGAAACGATTCAAACGGTAGCTCGTCATGCTTTTGAAAACAATAAAATGTTTATGATGAACCTTAGTGCACCATTTTTATGCGAATTTTATAAAGCTCCCATGTTAGCTGCTCTTCCATATGTTGATATACTATTTGGTAACGAAACTGAAGCAGATACCTTTGCAAAAGTTAACGGTTTCCAAACTACAGATAGAAAAGAAATAGCCTTAAAACTGTCACAGATGGAGAAAGTAAATAAAAAAAGGCAAAGAATTGTTGTGATAACACAGGGTGCAGAACAAATCCTTGTAGCAAAAGATAATACAGTAACAGAAGTTCCTGCTATTAAACTCCCACAAGAAAAAGTTGTTGATACCAATGGAGCAGGAGATGCATTTGTAGGAGGTAAGTTTTTGGCACGCATTGGACATTGATTAGAAAGATATTAATATATTATTATTATTTCAGGTTTCTTGGCTCAACTTATACAAGGTAAAAGCATAGAAGTCTGTACCAAATGTGGTATTTGGGCTGCAACTCAAATCGTACAAAGATCTGGATGTACTTACGAAGGGAAACCTAACTTTACACCTTGATAATTCTTAATCAGTTAGTAATTGTAAATTCTGTACTTAATAAATGCCTTAACAATTTTTACCCTAATTTCCTTAAATGTGGAATATTTATTTCAGCGACATATTAGGTACCGTTTGATTACGTATCGATAATTGGGTCAAATAATAATTTAATCGATAAAATAAATTTTATTTAACTAGGTATACACAAGAAAGAACAGATTGATACATTAACAATTCCTTACAATAATTTCTTATTTAGTAATAGATTATTAATCGGTATCTTAAATTATGCAATTACGTCATCTAAAGGAGACATTCTTGTAATCGTTTAATTTATGCAGGACTTAAAAAATCAATACAATCAGTTGCAGCGTGGCCATTGCATCGAATACATACTTACAAGTATTGTAAAAGGTAAGAGCACTGGTTGAAATAATGTTAGTCGAAAAACAGTTATCGCGATCGTGTGGCACGCCTGCGTCATTCGCTACGTAAATGCAGAATATACATAGAGTAGGATAGAGATGTAGCGATAAAGACATACGTGGACGAGACACGTCGGGGTAAGGGCGGCCCTTAAAAAAATCAATAATCTCATTACGAAATTGCACACAGCATGGTGTGCGTGTATTTCGCCTGTACCGTGGTAGAAGTGACGGCGTGCCCCTCGCGATCAGGATCGTAGACAAACACCGCTGATCCTTTCAAAGTTATTTTTAAATATATTTTATTAGGAACAATAAAAATACTTAATAAATAATTAGGTACGAAATATAATGTATACGTATACACACGATCGACAGTTTTGAGATATTTATTTTCAAAAAATCTCCTTTATCATATATTTAATAAAAATGCGAATCTTTTATAAATAAATGAATGTTCTTATTCAGGTGACGTTAGGTGTGCTGTTTTAAATGGTGATATGTTTTAATCTCGTACTGTTTTGTATCAGACTCTTGTAAATTTCAATGCTTTACGTTTAAGAAAACAATGTAATAACTACGAGTAACTTTTTTAGGGTCAGCCTTACGCGTTTAACTAGCAAATGTTATGAAAAAACAATTAGTACGGGGAGAAACGCAGTTAAATCCGCAACATCTGGCAATTGTATCGAGAGAGTGGGTGGTTCGAAGCGACGAAGGAGTGACAAGAGGTACAACAGTAAATCGACGATTATTTTCTTTTATTATTATTTATGGTCGTGTGGCCCGAGAAGGGGCAGGTACAGCCCTGGAGGCTCGTTGACAATGCTCCCGGCATCGTTCACGTAGCAGTCGCGCGCGCTGTCGCGTCGAGAAGCCGATTGGGAATGGTTAAAGCGAGCGTGAAGTGGGCGGCCATAGTGGTGGTAGAAGCATAGTAGCACAGGGGCAGTAACACGGCAACAAGCCGCGTATAAGTCGACAGTCTTCGGCACGATATCGGGCTGGTTCAGTATTCGCTTTCGTTGCGGCTTCTGCTTACCCGCGCTCCGTAGCTCCTTACTCCCTGAATCTCCCACGGGGTATCGTGTATACATACAGAACCACGTCATGATTGCTGGTCCGTGTACATATGGAATTGTGTGTGCGCGCGAGAGAAGCAACGAAACACGACGCACGCACGTGTGACCGGTAACAAGAGTGTGTGAGACAAAGTGGACGGTTTGATTGGTCGACGGGAACGCGTGCCGCTACGACCGTGTTTCTTCGTGATTCCGCCGTGGCCGAGAGCGCGGTGTGCGCAGTGCGCTCCCCACCGCGTGCGCGCAGTGTGTAACCCCCGCGACCGCCATCTTTGTCAAGTGGGTAACCTTTGTTGATTTGTGTGAAATGTGACGCCGTTGTCGCGAGATAATTGGTGATCGTGATTACACGCGAGGCTTGTGTGTCGGTACCTGAGTGACTCGTGCTCTCGCGTGTCTCACCGTGGATCTATGCGTGGAACTACCGCGATCAGGTAACGACAATTCGCCTCACATTAAATTCTGGCCAACAGAGAGCCACGCGAATCGTCGCCCGACGCATACGGGCCAGCGGTTCTGGCCGCCTGCTCGAGAAAGAGAGAGATAGAGTGCGAGAGTGAGACAACGATAATCTTCTCCGTACGCAGTGTTATTCCGTTTTATTTTTCACGTAATTATTTTCGATTATGCACGAACGAAGGGACACCCGAACGTCATGGTACGACAGCAGGTTTTTCCCTGAATCGACCCATCACCGCGTTTCCACCGATTCATCGTTCCAGCGCGCGAAAAATCGTGCGAAACGGCCGAGTGTTGGCCGTGCCTACCCAAGATGGCTGCCCGTCGGGCTTCGAGAAACTTGTGTCCTCGTCGTCTCTGCTTCGACGACGTAATTGCATCGTTTCGTGTTTTTTGCTCACGCGACGCGTACCGTATCCTCGAGTCAACGGGAGAAACGTTTGTGCTGTCGATATTGTTACGTTCGGGTGGCCGACGGATCGAAAATAAACGTAGCGACGGCCGTCGCCCACGGTTCCGTCCGTCGCGATCGTAACATTTGCCGTGCGTACAGTGTCCCGTATGAGTTAAGGTGTGAATCGCGACAGCCATTCCGGCTACGGGATCATCGTGTGCGAGTTCGCCGGCTTAAAAAGTACGTGTTTCTCAAGTATGTCGATTAAAATGGCTACCGACGGCAGCCAGTCGATGATCGTGCGTGAACGGTGTCCACGCGCGTATCGCTTATTTTCACGTTCGAAATGGGTGATTCGACGGCACCGTTCGGTCTGCCTCTCGCGCTCGGCGTCTTCCGTCGATTCCCATCGAACCGAATCACCGTTTAAATTACGCTTGATACGCGGTTCTCGTGGAATCGAAGCGTGTGCAAACGCAAGGGTAACGAGCGACGGGCGGCGGCAGTTAGGGCCGTTCGGTTAGTTTTCTCGGTGGCGCAGCTGCTCTCTCTCTCTTTTACTCTCCGTCGGGTGAGAGGGGCCCCGGCAAACACAGCCAGCCGGCTTGGCCACACTGGCCTCTCTTCGCCCTCGTCCCCGTGGTCTTACGACGGACAAATACTCCTTCTTTCTCGATCCATGGCGATTTCCCTGTTTAACACGTTCACTACCGCCGCGAGTTTTCTTCGTCTCACCGCTGTCTACGATCCACGCTCTACACGCTTTTGCCGTTTTTTTTTTTTCTATCGTTCCCGAAACTCTCTCCAATCCGTATCACCGAAAAATAAAAGCACGCGATTGTTCGACGATGCGCCTATTATTTCATATTGTTCCGCGGAATGTTCACTCTTACTCCGAAAACCAGGCTCGTTCGAATACCGAGTTTTGAAAAGTAGAGGTACTTTGGGACAAACCCCCTGGCATTGCAAGTTATTCTTAAACTATTTCATTGTAGACTCGATTTGAAAGCTTTAAAGAATCTATTGGGTTGTCCAGAATGTTCGTGCCAATTTTTAAGAAATATTTAAAGACACGTTTGAATTTCGATATATATTTATTGAATTATATATGTACCATTCTGTATCGCAATTTTTATCACCTTTTAACGAATGTCCACATGTTATTTGTTTTCAACCGTACCGATATATTCAGACGTGTACCGCCTACTAAAAATCGCCATGGACTTTCCAGACAACCTAATACATGAATTTTTTCAGATTTGTAAAATGATTTTCACACGTGTCGAGAACGAATGACCCTGGTTTACAGATCAAGTGGACTGTTACATCCGTGCACGAGGATCAAGAAAACGCGAAAATTACTTTACATACACAGTTTATTTTAACACTTTACCTATCCGGAATCTATTTATAGGCTTTCCAATTCCAGTGTACATCCCCTGAAACCCATTGACTGTGTTATTAACCGTCCATCTATATTGTAGTACACGAAGTACTGATTCATTTAGTGTAAACGTTGCAAGTTTGATAACACACAAGTGAACGTGTCAGTCGCGGTGTGTTTACCCTGTGATTCCGTCTCTGCGATCACTTAGCTAAATCCGGTTGGTTAAAATACAAAGCACGAAACGAATTCTTCACTTTTGCTGTCTACTTTGAGAGACGTACCATCGACGTGCCCGCAATTTTATCTCGGCGACCTAACTCGCATTAATCTGTCACGTTGTGCTGTCGATACAGTTTATTGTGTCTGTCGCTTCCTGTCCGCGTAGAGCCTTGTTGATCTCTCCCTTCATTGCCGTATGAATTCTTCGGACGTACATTTTGTATATGACACGCGCGTTTCGTCTTCAATCATTTTTCCAAATTGTTCCGTTTAGTTGCTGTTTAATTAGTCGCGATAGGTAGCTTTGAGGTTAGGTATAATAACATCCCGCGTTCCGCGCATTTCTGTACGTTTCTGTAAAAGCGTGAACTGAATTAATGTACAGCGGAGTCCTCGAGTTACGTGCTCGTGTCCCCGTTTATTACACGTACAAATTAATTCTGTGCCTTTATATTCAATCATTTGTAACTTTGGCTCGAGTAGAAATATTTAATTGTCGTTTTGTTATTATATGGTCTCCATTAAAATACGGAAATTGTTAGCTACTTATTCTTACTTGTTACTGTTACAATTATTATTCTAAATCAGCGTGTTTGATCGCTACAGCAATCGACTTAGGTTACGTGTACTTTGACGTACCGAAATAACGAATATATCTGTTTAAACTAGAATTACAAAGGATCGAATCTAGAGGCACAGAATTAATTTCCACGCACAGGGACAGAACCATATAATTTTCTAAAAATTACCAACAGAATCTGATACCTCGTATTTATAATTGAATTAGAAACCTTTTAATAACTCCTACGTCCATGTAATCTGTCCCATTCGTTTCTGCCGTGTCTAAGAAGCGAGAAATTGGCGGTAAAACAAACCCAACACGACCGAGTTGCCTGCCAGATTGCCTGGCGATTAGATTTAACGATACGTCGTATCAGCTGACATAACCTCAAAGATAAAGTGAAAGATCCGTGTGTTTGATATTAGATGTAGACGCTATCTCTGCGCCTTTATTTATAAAGGAAAGCCCATACAACTTTCAATCTTTCCTTCGTCGCACAGCTTATTATATCTTTTACGTTTAACATATTTATGCATTTGCACGCGTTCATTGCAGATTTTTGTATATTTATCTGAAGCGAGGTCTCGAGAAGGTCCAGTAAATTTGTTTAATTGAACCACAGTTATAAATAGACTGCGGATATGCATTTATAGGAAATTTCAACGTGCAAGAAGCTACAGAATGCAAACAATATGCAAAAATAAAAAAAAGATTGATTGTAAAGTTCACGTTTATAATATTTACGGACTAAAATAAATACCTATTTAGGTTCAATTTTTGTAGCCACGTTCGCGAAGATTTAATTTTGCCTAAAGATCCGCAGTCTAGTTATAAATGTTTGAACGTAAAAGCGCGGAATTTAGCGCTACATATAATATATCACGTTTCACTTGTTACAGAAGCTGTAATGCGCGCGCGTTATCCTAATACCTGAGTTTTCTTACATTTATTGCGCAAGATATCTCGCTTCGCCTAATAAGATAGCGTAGCCAGACGGCGCTTTCGTTGACGTAGGTGAGCGAGAAGAACGTTTCGAATAGGTTTGACGCGCAAAGTATACGTTGACATTAGACGGAAAGTTGTCAGGTGGCTCGTCCGTTCGCTCGCATACGCTCCTGTTCTCCGCGAGCATTGGAAGCGTGCCGGTAATTGGCCGACTAATGAATTCGAGCCAAGGCTGACGTTTAAAGTTTAAACCGTCGCCGGAAATCCAATCGCCTTCGACGAGTCGCGCCGTGATTCGTGATTGAAAGTTTCTTTCGTCCGAAAAATTTCTACATTTTCGACCCTCGAACGCCGTAAGAAAGTCTTTTATTTGTTTTACCATGCGTCCGTCGATGAAACCGTGTCCTCGACACTGATTAAAGGATATCGCGAAAGTTACACGGCGCGTACGTGTTTCGCGTAGAAATTTATGCGACCGATGGAGCGAACGAAATCACGTAGTCGATGGTAGGAGACACAGTTGATCACGGAATTATGTCGAACTAGAAACTAGGAACCCTAACGAACCCTTTGGAACTGATTCGTTACGCGTAGAAATTAATTTCTATACCTTCGTATTTAATCACTTATTATTTCTTTACTTTTTCGTTACTCTAATTTACGTAGAAACATCGACTGGCCGTTTGGCCTTTATAAATAATGAGTTTACCTCGGAAAGTCACAGAATTAATTAATATACTTCGCTGCTAGATATAGCATAAAAAGTACGAGAGAAGTTATTATTATCTCCAGTTAATTTTAAAACCGTGTAAAAAAACAAAGTATCCTATAAATGGGAGGATCAGGTCTGGATTAGGTCTGGCAGAGAATTAAATTCTATACCTAACAGACGTGCTTCGCTGTTAATCATACTACAAAAAGTATTTAGCAAGTTATTATTATCTCCAGTTACTTTTTAAACTATTTAAAAAAAAAAAAAAAAAATAAAAAAAAAATGCAAATCGGGGAGGATTAGATTTGTTATCGTGAATAGTAGTGCCTGTTTTTTAATTTACCGTAACCGGGAAAAAATATTCCGAAACAGACCTTCGTCCTTCCCGTTGACTGTAGCGGCGCGGTTCATCGTTCGATTCAATTAACGTTTCGCGCGATCGATCTCCGCTGGTTAATTAGTGGGGAATAACGGTGGTGGCTCCGGTGTAGCCGGCCGGGGAAACAGCGACGTGGAAAAACGCGAACGAAATCGCGCAGGTCGAAATATCCTCCCGCGGGACAGCGACACCGCGGAGCCTGGCTACGTTTGCTTATTGTATTAACGTTATCTCGTCATCGGTGCGCGTTCATGCCTCCAACTGCGCTAATCCCCTTTACTACAATGTACGTAGTGGCGGCCAGGTATATCAGGGTTTTCGCGTACATTCCGCGTCGGTGTTATCCATAATGTAGCAGCTACCGTTCGCGTTGCATCGTTAAAAATGCCGACTTTTCGTTTCGCGCCACTTACGACGCAACCACGGAATTCTTCGGGCTTATCTCAACGCCTGGTCATATTTCCATTGAAATGGAAATAAGAAATGACCATTTGACATAATTCGGGAAATAGTTTGGGAGCTAATTGGAAATAAAAATATTTTTGATCGGTCGAAGATATCGTAACGCAACGAACGCTGATGTTTTCATCCGCGAAGGACCCTCGAAGGCAGTTTCGCGACTACTTTCTGTTCGATCGTTTCTTCCGACTGGCTGCGACGCGGCCTTGTGCACGCCAGAAAGACGCGGACACATGTTACGCCGTGAAGAGTTCCGATATCCATGTCGGAACGTGAGTCACGGCCGAGATCGCGTACGCTTAACCCTTTGCGCTCGAGGGACGACCGACGGGCGACGGTCTTTGTTTAAGTTGGATTTCGTTATATGTAGATACCTCGAGACGTTGATAGCGGTAACCACGAATAGATTCGAAAAATAGAATTCGGTAAGTTTTTGTGAACTTCGTATCGATCTTGTTTATCAAATATCATAATTCGTTTACATAATCTCTGTCTCAAGATACTAATTAGCACACTGTAAATATTATGCACTTATGATACAAGTTAATATGACAAATATACATACTACACATAACATACCTTTATTGCAATATTAAATTATTATGTAATTTAATAGATTACATTCAGCATACTTGATGTATATTTTTTGTACGTTTTTCTGTATTGAAATTCTACGTTGCTATGCATATAACGTTACACCTATGTGTACATAATATCAATTCGAGAACTGGAAAGATAATGTTCCAACAACAGTGGATACATAAAACATACATTTCACTCGCGGTAACAAACGCTCGTATTTTTACCTCGTTTCGCACATTTATTCATTTCTTGCTTACCTATTTATTCTCTCTTCGACGATTAATTATTCCCTGACCGGTTTCCCGCATGATTAATATCGTATAACCGACTATTTTCAAATCCAAATCAAGCACAAATGATACTTTCATTTATGCGCTCCACTTTCATTTATTCGATACGAATATTCCAGCAAGTTTTTACGTCTCTGCCGCTTCTATAACGCGTGTTATATCTCCAGCGCGTTAAACCTGCTTAACGAACGACGGTTGTAATTATTCCGTGACATCGGTATTATCGCTTATGGTTAATGGAGAGAGAACGGAAACTGTCCAGATCAAAAGTTGCGCGCGGCTGTCGCGATTTTATTCGTACACGATTGTACTCAATTAGGTGCTACAATACTCGTACTTGACTTTTTAACGAGAACGCGTTCTGCGCGCGTATTTTTAAATGCAGATTTATGTAAATGGGGTGCGCGATCCAATTACTCGGAATGTAAACAAAGTTTTCTAGACTCGCGACGTCTCTTCAGAGGGGCGACATGGGAGTGCAAAGGGTTGGTAATTTTCCCAATGTTCCAGGTGTTCGAAGCCCCTACAGCGGGCAGAAGGTTTTGGCGGGAAACCGTGTAGCCCGCATCGCTGGAAGGGTTGTAGACGGTTTCGAGAATAGAACGTGCACGTGGCGTGAAAACGAGGTCGTAACAGGGGATCGGAATGGCGGCTTCTCTTCCGGTGGATCAACCGGAGCCGGTTTAACTCGGCGTTTTACGGTTTTTTTCGCCGGCTAAACTCGGAGAGATATTTATTATCGTGCACTCGCTACTCGCAGCCAGCAGCACTGGCCTAGGTCAACTTGTATCGCACAGCTGCATCTCGTTCCTCCTCGCCTGGTTGTGTCGCCTAGACGGTATGTTTACAGGCGGTGTTCCTCGAGGGATAATTAATTTTCGATTAACCCTAGAAGCTGCTCGTATAGTACAAGAAGATCTGTTTATACGCTTATTTAATCCTTTGCACTCGGATGTATCCTCTGAGAAGACATCGTAAGTTTAAGAATCTTTACTAGCGAATTATTTCTTTATAACGAATGCGTTTCTCTGTAACGAAATGGCTTCCGAATGCAATAGATTAAATTAACGGTTACATGATGTTGCGGCTTAGTTTTCTCGCACTTTTTTTCACGTCTTACCATGGACATCGCTGTATCGTTTGGGTTATGTATTTCCTCTCGTGCTTACAATCCACGTATACTTCCACAGAGGGATCATTAATCATTGCTGTTTCTTCGATAGCGTTAAGTGGTCGATCTTTAGTCGAGACCAACCGATTAAATGATCCAAGATGTTCAGAACCGTTTCGAGAGATCATCATCGGATCGAGTTTGTTTGATCGTTACCTAACAGCGTTCACGATGCGTTTCCTTTCCTGGTGTTTTGGCCTCGAGGTTGGGAAATCGAAGGAGCACGACCAGGAAGCCAAACTGCGAGCATTCGCGCGTTGAACCAGCTTAACGGACAACGACTGTAATTATTGCGTGACATCGGAATTTCGCCTATGGTTAATGGAGAGAGAATGGAAACCGTGGATATGAAAAGTGTGCAATTGACGCGATTTTATTCGTCCGTAAGAGAGAATGTTCTTACAATCGGATAGAATTTTTATAGCCTAAAAATCAAATGAATTCGTCTACTATATTTTAAAGGGTAAACATTCTTCTCTCGAATAGTCGATGATATTTGAATTTATTCGAAGAATTTATGCTTGAAAAAGACCGCCATGATTTATGACACAACTCGATACACGCTACCAATGTTCTTTTTTTCGCCGTGCGCTCTCGTGCCGCGAACAAGAGTATGTTCGCGTTGCTCGATGACGATTGACGTGTCCGAAACGCTCAACGGGCAACGGTATCGGTATTTCGTGGACTATTTAAAGAACGCATCGTTTCGCGCGAGAGCTTCAAGGGAAAACTAGCATCTTGCAACACTCTTCTATTTCTTTTTCGTTGACGTGGGAACGAACTCAAACCCAGTGTCCCCGATTTACACGCAAGATATCGGTACCTCGAGGTACTCTGTAAATAGTGTTCGGGCATCAGCGCGTATTTATTAGTTCATATCATAAACGGATCAAATCTGCGATCTAGTTGTAATACTTTGTACGAGCGTCGTCAGAAGTCAAAGGTGATAATAAGCAGCGGACTTAAAGGTCGCGTTTCACGTTGCGCAATGCTATCGGGCGAGTGTAGCGATTTTTAAATATTTCCTCTCTCTCTTCCACGTGTACGTGCCTTCGCGAGCTTGCTCCCGTCGAGGAGAAAGTTCGTCGCTCAGGGGAAAATCGGCGAATCGTTCTTTACCAGCTGGAAATTGGTCGATTTCGAACGTGAGATGATGTGCTCGACACGTGCGTATCACTTTGACCGCCAGGCTAACACTTCCGAACATTTCTATACTGCGATTAAATACTGTTTAGAGTCAATCGAACCGTTCATTAAAAATTGATCAAGGATGATAAATGAAATGGATACAAACAGTCTAGAATGGACAGTCGGAGAGGGAATATTTATTTTTTTTTTTTTTTTATCAGCGATTCTTTCTCTGCAACGGAACGCCCGCGATTCAACGGCACGCTAACTTCCGGCGCGCGTTGTCCTAACTGAAAACATTACTTGGCCAGCCAGGAAACCGATCGATGAACGCCGTTTCTCTCCCGTGCTAATCACTGTCGTATACGCCGCAACGCGATCAAACGCGTTTCCAAATCCGAAGCTCGAATCGTTGGACGCTGGAGACGTGCTCTCGCGTGGACATTCAATCGACCCTCGGCCTCGGGAGCAATTCGTACCGAGATTTTGTAAACACGAATGCTAAATTTATGCTTCGGATTAACCTCTCGACGACGGAGCCATGTCTACTTGGCATCTACTTGGCTGTTGTCGAGTATTTGGCGAACGGCCTGATACGTGGACCGGGGGCATTGCTCGTCTATTCGTCGAACGTTTGGGGAACGTCTTCAGGGGTCGGATAAAATTTTCCACATTTTTGTTTGTTTGTACTTTTGTTTACTTTGATTAATTCATGGGCTCTGAACCGCAAAGGGTTAAGAGTATCCTTCCGGGCGGACAGTAGAGCAGTGAGTAGTTTTTCATGGTTGGGTTAGTGTTGGTTGGGTTAAATATTAAGTATGGAAAAGCCTAAGGGCGAGAAATAAGAATTTGAACAATGCAACAGCAAATAAGGGGAGCCAGTAGCTATCGATAGTCAGTAGCACCCTGGCTAGCGCTATAAACGCAACAAACAAACAAGTATCCTTCCCTTCCATCGATACTAGCTCCCAATATTTCTTGAACAACACGTGGCGTTGAATCACTCGAATCTGACGATGAACGTGATTCTGGTTTCAGGGTCAGCGTAAGAAACGCGTGTGGCTAACCCGGACGAGGAGGCGACGGAACGAGTCTCCGCGAAGGTCCCAGCAGGCCGAAGCGAAGCAGTCGCAGGATGTGAATGACGTGGCCGTGACACGACCGACCCGGAGGCGCTCGAGCGTTGTCCACCGGGTGTGTATAACCTGGCCAGGTACGTGGTGGTCGCCACCGCCGCCGCCGCCGCC